ATTAATGTAAAATTATATTTTATAATGAAGAACACAATAATTCTTATAATTATATATAACATGTGGTAATTATAAAAAGTTGTTCTTGTATATAGCCCTACGATAACTTCCATAATCCTAATAATTTATACATAAGATAAACCCTTTTATTAGTTCAAACATAAAAGCATAAATATAAATTTACTTCTGATATATATTGAATATAATACGTGTTGTATTTTTTATTGAAACAATTATACCATATATATGAATACAAGTATTATAGGTAGTATTAATAATATATTGTTAAAATCGTAATATATATAAACTACGAAAAATTATATTTCGTTTAAAATCATATGAGTAAAAATTTGTTATTATGTAATATGCAAATACATAACTATGTAGTATTTATGTTGCACATATTAAATTATTCAATAAATATATAGTTCATTTTATTAGTTCATTATTTACTTATTTCATTAATGGTCATTTTTATTTTTTATTATTATGCACGACATTCCTCGGCCTATACATTCATGAGATATACAATTTTATATATGATAACATCGAATATATTTTAAGTAAATCGAAAAGTATAAAAGGCACAATTCATTAATAATATATATACACATTTTATAAAACGATTCTAATATATTTTTATATTATTCATAACGTATATAAAAATGCTGTTAATTACTGTCTATACAACTATATATATTTATAAGTAGTAATAAAGTGTATATACAGAATAGATATTTCTTTTGTTACCACGTAAAGTAATAAAATTTGTATAAAGAAAATATACTTATATAAAATAAGTGTTATGAAAATACATAGATTTACTTTTATGTTATATATTATAATATGCACAAAAAAAAAACGTGCGAACTAAAAAATCTACTACCAGATGTAGTATATAAACAAACAAGAACTTTTTTTAAGTTTTTTTATTTATTTAAAGCAATACAGGGTACACATTTGTCTGCATATAAATATATATTAATGTAAATAACAATATTAGGTGTGTTAATTCATAAAAAAAATTTATTACATTATTCATAAAAATTTTAACTTGTATATTTTCATGCTTTATAACCATATTAATTTATATACTTTGTCACATATACAATTGTTTAAATGTATAATAATATATTGGTAACAAATATAATTTATATTCTTCTACATATTATAATTATAGATTAATTACAAAGCTATTATTTTTCCTACCAGCATAAGCATTAATTAGTATGATAACAATCAATTTCAGTTAATACAAAAAATTATAGATCACATAAGTAAAATTAATTAAATTAAATATATTTTATGAGATATAATAAAATATATAATTCTTTAAAATATACTAACTTCAGGAAGATGAAAAAAGTTATAATAAACTTTACCTTTTGTTATATTGCATATTCGCTAATTTCTTATATATACAATTTATATAAAATAAACTTAACTGCGATATTAGACAATGATTATAACTTTTCGTGTTTAATAGTACTTCTGAATATAGAAAATATTACCTATATGATAATTATCGTTTTAACACATTTAATATTATGATTATATTTATAGAGTTTTCCGTCTTCTATATGATTCGTTCCTTCAGTAGTATTCTTAATTATAATTTTAATTGATATAATGATAAAAAAATAAATATATAAACCATATATATTTAAAAGATTAATTATTTTTAATTAACTAAAAATATAAATAACAAATTAATTTATTATATTGTAAACTTTATACATTAATATTGCTTTTTATTGCATATTAAACACTCATATATTATATTGTTTAAAGAAATATAGCTTATTATGCAGGTAATATTGAATAAAAACAATATGTATTTGTTAAAGATATTTTTAATATTAAATTTACATATGTATAGATGTATTTTTTTAGGTATTTAACAGAAATTAACTACTCCTATTCAATAAACATAAATAATATATATATATATATATCTTATTTATTGCAAATTATATGCTAATATAGTATTAAAATCTATGATCGATAGAATATATAAATAGAATATAAGTAGCAGAACATTGATTTATTTTATACAATAATATAGGACACATGCAAATAATATAGGGATAAATAATATTATGAATCACAATGTATTCTTATGATAAAATAACTATTAAACATAGAATCCTAAACCCCATAACTTATAATTTCATTCGAAAATATAGATTAAGAAATTATAACATAAAAAATGATTTTTATATTTTAGAGTTATTATACATTAATAAAAGAAAATAATTAGTAAATTATATTTATCCTTATTAAAAATAGCTAATGTGTTATAAATAATGATTCTTTATTATGTAACAAAACATGTATAGAGCAATTAATTTATCAATCGAAATTAACTTTTTTATTACATATAAGAAATTAATAGAAATTTATTTTTTGCACTTGAATGCCATTACATTCATATAAATATATTTTAATAATATACTAAAAAAATGCTATTTATAATCTGCAGTTTATAGATAATATATATATTACATTTTCATATCTAAGATGCAAAAGTTTTTTAAATAATATTATACATATTAATTTTAAGAAATAGGAAAATAATTATAAGACTCATTATAAAGTATATAAAAAAAAGGTTGCATATAATTTAAACAAATTTATATTATCCCATTTATATTTTATATAATAAAAAAAAAGTTATGTCCAATATTAAAAAAATTATATTAATATATAAAATACAAACACTACAATAGAATATATAATAATATAACTAAAAAAAATATAAAATATCCATATCATTTGATATTCAGATTTTTTTATTTGTAATAATATATTAAATTATTTTTCAAGATTATTATTAAGGATTTTTCATGATATTATATCTGTAAATAATATATATTATATATTAAAACTGTGTCACTAATATTTTAAATATATATAATTTATTTTATTATATATATTGATAAAATAATATATTTATATTTATAATTTTTAATATTATATTAAATTTTACAATTTTTTCCTTGATTAATAATTACAAAAAATGAGCTATAAATTATTATAATATATTTACGGAATAAGCATTGTTAAAATAAAGAATATTTCAAATAAAAATATTAATAAAATATCAATTACATTTTTTATTACATTTCTTATAATTTCTACAAAAAATATAACATATATTTTTAACAAAACGTAGAATTTTAATAATTTAGCAAAAGTTAAAATAAAAAAACTTTTAATGTTAAAATAAAAAAATAAAACATTATATTTTTTGTTTTTTGTATAATTAATGTTTATTTTTCTCATAATATTATAAACACTTATAGATTTTTCCTTTTAGAAGAATTTATATATGTGTATTCATTATTTTAACGCACTTTTTGTAATATATACATTCATAAAATAAAGAATGTATTATAAAATTTTAGTACAAATATATAGAGGGTGCGATTTCGTTATTTATTCCGTTTTAACGTATGTTAATTTTCTGTATAAATTAACATAACTTATACAGTTCATATACATAGAAATGATTATAAAACATCATAAATCATAATATTAATATGTATACATATATATATTTTATAAGTTACATTAATACTAGTATATTATTTTCTAAGGTTATAAATTGATTCTAAATATTAAAATTTAAAATTATACGGATGATTCAAAGTTAGGAGTATAAGTTGTAGAATAATGCGTATGATTATATTTACGTTATTAATATATACGTAACTTTAATAAATAATAGTTCTATACATTAAATGAATGATCTTGCATATGTAATCACAGTTATTTATTATTTGAAGTAATAAATATTTATTTATAATTTTATAGTAAGCAAATTATTCATGTAAGAATATTATGCTTATTACAACTATAATTACACTATAAATAGTTTCATTATTTTCCATCCTATTTTTATTCTATGTACAAAAGACCTATTTTACATAATAATACAAGTTATTGAAATTTACGTAATTAATATTACAAAATAGTCTGTATTATAATGCATTTCTTAATAACAACAATATTTTCAGAATTTTCATTGATTTTTATTTATACAATGTTAAAAATATCATAGGCGTTAATTTAGTACCTCATTTGTGATCATACATTTGTAATATTAGGGTAATTTAAATTGATATAATATATATATAGATAGAAAATATATATAAAGAAATAGAAGTAGTTCTATTTTCGAAGGTTGCACAGTGATAAAAATATTTGTAGGTTCTGTATTATATAATTTAAGATAAATATTATAATTTGTTGTTATTTAATTACGCTGTTATATTATTTTAAAATATAAATGATAAAACATTAAAAATATAATCACATAATTTGTAAAAAACATACGGTATAGTTAAAAGTTTTATATTACACTTATTAATGTATATAATAAATAGTGTGCTATATTTTTATGAATATTCCTTTATCATACATAAATATTATGCTAAATATACATATTATATTGTATTAAATTACTTTGAATAGATAATCTATAAATGAATACATATTATTATATCATTTTAATGTAATATGTATAGAAATAATACATATATCAAGAAGGATATGAGAAATTACACTAATATATATTATCAATTAATAATATGCATATAATAAGTCTTATGAACTGAATTGTACATAGAATATAACTAGAACTAAAAAGGAAATATATGAAAATATCATAAGAAAGATATCATAAAAATAAATCCAATCAAATTAATCTTCATATTGAAAACGTAGAACATAACTGAAATATCCAAATTCTAATATATATACATATATATTTCATTAAATTCAAAAATACTTTATATATTCATTTTTATATTGTTGGCATATAACTCGTTTTGACTATATAAAATTTTATTAAAGCAATTTATTGTCGCTCAATATTTAGTTAAAATACAAAATATATTAATATTTTACATATTTAGATTTTTGTTATATTAAAATATATTAATTTTTTTTTTTATAATTAAAAAAAATTGAACTTATAATTAAAGAATTTTAAAAAAATGACTAGGATATTAGTAGTATGTATTATTTTATATCATCATAATTATATATATAGGACTTTGTTTTTATATTAAAAAATATATTTTATCTAAATTTTTATTACATATATTAATTTAGTTTCTATATATTATGATTTTTTTTTTTTTATAATTCATAAGGAAGCAAATTTAAATGGATTTCCCTCTAAAGCGTATTATACAAGATTAGAGGGGTTACCGGATTTGTGTTTTCAGGAACCTAAAAAAGAGGAAGTTAAAGGTATTTTAGAGAGTATTGTAGAAATTAAATATAATTCTCAAAAAATCCTGAATTCTTTTTGTGATTTATCTTATGTTGGTGCAAATACTGATAAATGTTTTAAGGAATGTGATCGCCTTTATTACTGGATTGGGGATATGCTATATAATAAGCTAGGAAGTAATGATGAATTTTATAGTATTTTTAATAAATTACAAGATGGACAAAATATGATTGGCTCTTCCGGTCAATGTAAATGTAAATTTCCTAAAGGTGTTAATACTGATGATTTTGAAACCATGAAGACAGTGTATGATTATTCATTAGATAACGCAACAATTAAAGAAGAACTTAACGAGGGTGATATTTCCTGTGATGAATATTATATGAGCCATCTTCGTAAATATGTTAATAAATATAACGATGTTTTTAGAGCTTGTGTATATGGAAAAACAAAAACATATTGTGATGAATTTAAAAGGCATTATCCCTCATATATGACTGAAATAATGTCTAATTTAAAATTTAAGTTCAATGATCAAATAATAGAATTAATTCATTTAAACGTAAAAACACTTAAACTTGAAGAGAAGGATGAAATCCCTTCAGCAAGCGCAACTATTATTCCTGTGTATAGAACTTTTAAGGCATTTATTCTTACTGTATTATCTCTAGTATTTGTATTAATTTTTTTTTTCTTTATTTATAAGGTAATTATAAATGAAATATATAAAATTAATATAATAATTTATAGTCGTCCATTTTATTTCATTGATATAATTACTTCCGAAGTAAATATAATAATTATATAACATATATATTTTTATAATGGATTTAAAAGTATAATCCATTAGGAACATACAGACGAAACTTCATGGAAAAATATAATACAATAAGACGATATTTAAATGATATAAATATGCATAAGATTATGGAATGTAACTTTTATCTTAATCAAAAAATCTCAGAAAGTGATCATTTTAATTTAGCTTATTATACTTTTTGAAACATATATTACCTTTATGCAAAAAATATGAATTCATTTAATCATAATATTAGTTAGAACATAATTATTTATATTGTAAATAAATATCTATGAATAATTTTCCGATGTATGTTCGAAAGATTATTAAGATATTTTTTTTTATTAATATAAAGTACAAAATACCAATATATAAGCTAAGAGGTAGAACAACCTAATAGGATCATATCGATATTTTTAGGAACTAATACTTAACACATTAAAAATTATAAAAACTGTAATTAAAAAATATCACAGGAATTTTTACTTTATAAACATTTAAATTCAGAATAAATTATTATTCATTTTTAAGCGTAGAAAATAATAAAACGTAGAACATCAATTACATATTTCATAAATATATCAAACATATATATATATAATATGCATTTAACTCAAGGATAAATATTATACAGGTTCATATTTTACTATAGAATAATGAGAATAGATGATATTGTTCTGTTCTCAATATTAAAATGTATAAATAAAGCAATTATATTCACTCTAATGCATTTTTTTATTCTCTAAAATTATTTAGGTAAAAGGTAAGGAACACAACTATAATTCAATTTTATTTCGTATTAAACTGTAGCGAAAAGGTGTATACTATATATTCTATTTTATTAAAAACAAATTATATTATAAAACAGCATGAAATTTTAGTGAGACATGAATATGAAAAAAAATTAGGCCATTTGCATAAAGAATAATACAAACGTAGTTTCCATATATTGTGTATAAATTAAAAATATATAGCATGAAAATTATTTGGAGATTAAAACAAAAATAATAAAATATGTAAATTGAAAAACCAGGAGAGCTGATAATTAATGTATAAGAAATATTATTTAAAAATGTATATATTATACATAATACCTTGAATATTTAGTTCATTACTTAATCGATATTATTTAAAAAAATTTATTTATTATTGAATTATTTTAAAAATAAAATATTAAATCATATAATTTAATTAAAAATATATCCATATATTTTTTAAATACAATTTACCTTTCATATTATTAATTATAATTCAGTTGTATTTATTTTTTAAGAGCATACATAAATAGAGTATATAAATTCCAATTATTCATTATAATATTACAGATAATTAGCATACAATTTACTTCACTTTAAATCATTATATTAAATGAATAATTATATAATATTCAGATTATATATATATTCTCTTACTTATTTCAGATTTTGAATTCCAAGATCATATATATATGAATTTACAATTAAACTAATAATACTATTTTTTTAACAATTATATATTTTATTTTGTTATAATAATTAATTCATATAATTTTATATAATGTATGTTTTTTTTATATATATTAGTTTATTTTGTGTCATAACATGTATTTTTTTTTAATTATTCTTTTTTCGTTTTTTATAATTTATAAAATGATAGCAACTTATTAATTCTTATATTTGAGAATTGCACCACATATATATAAGTAATATCTGTAATGTATGAATATCAGTAGTATTATGGGTTCCATATCTTGTGTTATATATTGTATTTAATTTTTAATTGTATATATATTTAACTTACATTTATGTAATTTTAGCATTATTTTTTTTTATTAATGTATTTATTAGAATTTGTATACGTTATTTTTTGAGCCCTTCGTTTTATTTTATGAATATATGTTCAATGTGCAGAAATGATTATAATACTTCGAACTATGCATATATAGGAATTATAAATAATGATTTATATCATACATATGAAAAATCTATTAATGATCATCCACGATAAAATATCTTTAACGAAACCAATTTTTTGCTTACATGCAAATATATTCCTAACCTATTGCATTATATATGTAATGTAAAACCTAAAAATAATGTTAAAGAACATAATTTTAAAAAACATCGTCTACAAGCTCAATGGGAATGTAGAAAATAAAAAATGAGAATTTAAAAATATTCATGATATTTACAATAAAATGATAATGCTTAATTGTGAGTTATAACGAGAAGTAAAATTTTTTACTAATATATGCGTTGATTATATTGAAAATTATGCATGACACACCTTTGAATTATTTCAATATATAAACAAACATGATCATCACCTTATAAAACATCAGGAGCACAATGCTTTTCGATCCATGTTTTGTAAAAATTAAAGTGTATATATAAAGCATATAAAAAATTTCCAATGTAACGATATAAGAATAATTAAAAATATAAATCAGAATGTAAAAATTATATAAATCAATATATGATAAAATCAATCTATACCTGCATATTTCTCCTAAGACGCATACATAAGCGACGGAAAAAACAACAGAATAATCAAGATATTAGAGGTAACACAATTAATATGTACATCAGTGTCTGCAGTTATAATCATAATTATTCTTTTTATATTATTTTCCATAATAATAATTAAATTTATTTTTTATAAGAATAAAAATAAATTTTACATTTTTAATGTAAACTGCAATATACATTATATTACGCATAATTTTATACAATATGTATTAAATAAATCAGGAACTCATAAAAATATATTATTCCTTTTTCTTTCAATTTACTTATTATGTATAAAATTTCCGCCAATTTTATTTAAGGAGATTCTCCAAAAATAGTGCTTAATTTCAGTATTATATATTCATTTGGGTCAACATAACATTTTATTTATTCTTGATGATTTGAATTAGCACATTTATCAGTACTGTATATAATACATACATAAAAACATATATAATGAACTTATATTACATTTTTTTAAGAAATTACGTAAAATTAAATTAATAAAATTTTCTAAAGAATAGAAATATAATTATATTAAGATGCATGTGTAAATATAGGCATTGTATTTTGAAAATTTTTTTT